TAAAACAATAAATGTTCTTAATGAATTATTTCTTTGTTGTTCAATTAGACAATAAAATGATTAAAAAATTGGTTCATGAATAAATTTAGTAACTCTTTTCTTGTATTCACAATTTAGTACTATTATATATTCTCATTAACAAACAACTGAAATTAAAAAAAATATGTTTTATTAATGATTTGAGTATATTTATAAGTTATTATAAAATTCAAAATGAATAAACTTCATAAATATGATATTAATATTTTTAAGTGATTAAATTTATTTATTTGAAATTTGATTTGCTACTTATTTTGTTTTTTGACATTTTATTTATCAAAATTATTCATTTTTTTATTTCTTCAAAATCAAATTGATGCTTTGTGGTTCTTTGAAGAAGATAAAATTTTATTTAGTTATATATTGGTTGAAATTATTAATGGATCGATTTTGTTGTTATAGAATTTAGCTAACAACAATCAGGTTATGTAGAAAAACAATTATGAAAAAAAAAGAAAATAACAAAACAAATTCATTGATAAGTGGAATAATTATCACAAAATGTATGAAAATAAAAAATAAATAAGTTAATAAGAAAAAAAGAAATAAAACATTAATTTAATAAAAGATAAAAGTTATTTTTAATCATATATAATTTTATAATAGATTGAAGAAATAATAATAACTTAAGAATGATAAAGTAATTTATTAATCATATAAAGACAGAATTCATAAGTTTAAACAAATTGTTTAATCTTCATTTTCTAACAAATACTTATATATTTAAAGATATAATATAATAAATAATCATAATTTTATATATAATACAAAAATATTAATATAAAACAATGAAAGAAATAATAATAAGTAGATAAAGAAGATAAAAAATAGAAAATATTAATAAGAATTTATTACATTAACATAATAAATAAAATAACAAGAATCATTATAATGAATTATATTTTTATTAATATTTCAACAATTAAAATATAAAATTAATTATTGACAATATCTTTTATATAAAGTTTATTTAATTTAAAACATAAAATACAAGAAAATAAATTAACATAGGTAATAAACCAAATACAAGATTTTTTATATTATTATATTAACTTAACAAAAAAACAATAAACAAAAGAGAATAAGATTTCTTTTTACTAAAATTATTTATCAAATGAAATATTAATTAATAATAATTTATTAAATTTTATTTGACTTTGACTGTTATCTTTGATTCAATAAAAAAAATAGAAAATAAATAAATAAAGAGTTAACATAATAATGAATGAAGTGAATGTGTAAATTGAATTCCTTGGAGATGTGATTCATGAATAGAACATAATTTATCTTGGTCATCTTCAAGAAATATATTATCAAAAGATTTGAATAATGAATTGATAACCATTTTATTAGTAACTCTTACAATAGCTTTGTAATAATCATTATCTTGTTTCAAACAGAAAAATTGGTCATAAAAACATGAAACACACTTCTCTATCCTATTAATTAATTCATTTGAAGAAAATGTCATAGGAATATTATTAATAACAATAACACTTTTATATTCATCTACATCTTCACCTTCATTTAAACCAATTCCTTTGATTTGATTAATAGATTCACTATAATTAACAAGATGAGGTGTTCCAACACTTTCATTTCCAATAAATCTTTTACTTAACTCTTCACCAACAACAGTTGGTTTTGGTAATGAAATAGTAAAAGATTCATTTGTTATTTCATTCATTATTTCTTTTGTTTTAATTGATTCATCAATTAGTTTAATCATTTCATGTGGTGGTGGTAATCCAATAAGATCATTAGGTAATTTTAATGCATTAACACAACGTAAAATGAGTTGTTGTCTAATTCCACCAGGTCTGGATGGTTCAATTTTTATTTTTCTTCCTTTCATTTCAAAATGGTTTAACTTTTCAATTGCTTTCTGTGCATTTCTTAAGTCATAATATTCAATAAATTTGTGATGTTTTTTATTTGGTGTCTCACGAATTTCTTTGATATCTCCATATCTTCCAAACACATCTTTTAATTGTGTATTTGTGATTGAATATTCAATGTTAAATACTACAATTGTTCCTTGATTTTGTTCATTATCATTTAAAACATCTTTTGCAATTGCATATGATACTGAATATTTATTTTGTAGTAATCTATATACTGTCTTTACATCTCTTAGATCAAAGTATGAAATAAGAATAAAATGATATGAGTTTAAACATTTATCATAAACTGCTTTGATTGTTCCACTTCCTTTGATTTTGTTTTTAATGTTTTCATATTCATTTCTACAAATCCCTGAAACAAATATAATTCTACTTGGATGTTCACCACACTGATATTCTTTTAATGCTTCTAATTGCCTTCTAAGTGTTATCAATGAAGTAGAATGTTGTTGTGTATTTTCATGTAAATTCATTGAATTGGTATTTTTATTTGATTTATTACACTTTTTCATTGTGTCTTTTTATTAATTCAATCATTTATTTATTATTTTATTCTTTTCTTTCTTCAACTTTGTTTTAATGTTGTTACATGTTTTATTCTCATTTCATGAATTTAAACAAAACCAATATCATAAATCATCTGAGACATAATGAAGATATCATTCATTAACCATTCAATCACTATTCTTTTATGTTTTAATAAATCTTATTCAAATAAACTAATACTAGATATAGAAATTTGTAAGTCATAACCACTTCAATATGGACAAAATGATTTAAGAATAATTCAATAAATAAATTAAAGGATGTGTTATGTTTGTAAATAATGAAAAGAATTGATTGAATGAACATGTTTTATTTTAAAGAAAGATGAAAAAATGAAGATAAACAATGAGTGTATGATTTAGATATGAATTCAATAATAATATTCAATGAAGAAATTATATAACAATTATTCACATGAGATTAATAATTTCATGTTGATAAATTTCTTTTGATATAATAAAATTGATTTGACAATAAATAAATAGATTATAATTTGGTTTCTTTCTTTGGTTATAAAGAAGGATTGAAGTTATTTGAAGTGTTGAGTGTTTAGTTCATTATTTAGTGTTCATTTGAAAAGATAACTGATAAAATATTCAAAAAGATTTCAATGAATAAATTGAGTAGTGTATTTGTCATTAGTTTCATAATCAATATCTCTATTTTCATCTTCAGACTTTTTAAACATAGTACATATTGTTTGACAATGATGGTTTGTGATAAAAATATTCTTTACAGTATCAAATTCATCAGAATATTGAATGAAATAATATTTACTTGGTTTGCTATGAATAACTTCTGCTTTAATTATAGTGTATTCATTGTTTGTTAGTATAACAAATACATTTTTCATTATCACCAAATCACTAACACTTTCACTGCTTTGACACCACAGAAAATGGTTGAATGCTTCTACGCTTAAAACACCTCCATAAACTTCCATACTTTTTATTCCTAATTTATCTCTAATTCCACTTCCTTCTTCGTTGATTGCTTGAATTATTTGTGTTTCTGCTTCTTCATGATACATTTCAATTATCATTTTTTCCTTTTTATCAATCAAATCCTTCACTTCTTTAAGTCGTAATGTTCCTCCTTGATTCATTTGATTTGTTACAACAAACATCTGACTTCCTTCACAATTTACTCGTTTCATTCGATGTACTTTCTCATCTTTAAGTCGACTATTATACATATCAACATATTTATTGTATTGTTCTGATGCTTTGACTAATAGTCCAATGGAATCAAGATAATCCAAATAACTTTCATTATAAAAATATTCACTTTGTTTGTATTGTTTGATTACAATAGGAATATCATTGTTGTCAACTTTTATACTTCCTTTGATAGTAATTCTTTTTCCTTTATCATTGATAATATTCTTCATTGTGATTTGACATGGAATAACTCTGTATTCTTTTGTTCTACTTGCAAATATTCTCATCTTCTCATATTCCTCAAATATTGGTGTAATAAGAACTCCTTCGAGTTTTGTAACTTCTTCCATACAATTTCCTTGTATGTATGATGGTGGAATAAACCATTTTGGAGTAGTGGTAAATCGTTGTAATTTAACATCACAAATGGATCATCATAGAATTTATTAGGATGAATGCATTGGAAAATAAAATATGGTTTTTGATTGAGACTGTTAATGATAGTGTTTTTCATTTGATCATTAATTTCATAATGATAGGAGTATTGTATTACTAAATCACATTTAGGAGGTATTTTTGTTAATGTAAATTGACTAGTTGGAAAAAAGTAAATAAAGAAAGACTGTTCAGGACAAACTTGAATACTTTGTTTTATTATTTCAATAAAATTGTCAAATGACTTCTCTTTACAAATTATTTCTTCTGTTC